TGTGTCACCCCTGAAAACTGTTAGCCTCATGTCCCAGCTTCAGCTGAACAGGAGGTCCCTGACCCCCTATGCAGCTCAGTTCTAGGGGGTGCCATGAGTCAGAAGCGACTAGATGCTAATGGGTCTGGCTTTTGGGGGACCCTTTTGCCCTCTTGGAAATCCTGGTGGCGTAGTGGTTAAGAGCTACGGCTGCTAACCAAAAGCTTGACAGCTCAAATCCACCAGGCGCTCCTTGGAAATCCTGTGGTGCGGTTCTGCTCTGGCCTTTAGGGTCGCTGTGAGTGCTAGGAGTTAGGTTAACAGCTGAGCGCAGATCATTTGTGCCATCCAGGGACCTTGTTGTTTTCCTAAACAGCATAAGCAAGCTAGCCCAAGAGTCCCAGTTTTTATGGGTATCTGCTCGTGTTTAAAGGAGAGGCTGCTAACTGAAAGGTCAGCAGTTCAAACCCACCAGCCACTCAGAGGGAGAAAGATGTAGCAGTCTGCTTCCGTAAAGATTTGTAGCCTTGGAAACCCTCTGGGGGCAGTTCTTCTCTGTCCTGTAGGGTTGCTATGAGGTGGCATTGACTGGACGGCAGGGGTGTGGGTTTTGGGGTTCGGCTCATGTCTAATAGTGTGGAATTTATTTAGTAGTGAGAGGCACAGGGTGAGGGACATTTCCAAGTTTCCTTTTCTTCACGCGGTGGTCCAATTATCCGAACACTGAGTAAGGAGGGAGCCACTGAGGGTGAGTGGAGGTGGGTGGGCCTCACAGCCCCTCCGCTGGCTTCCTCCCAGCCGGGGGGCAGATACCAGACTGGGTTTTCTCCGTGGCTCTGGGTTCTCTCCCCCTAAAGGGCCTGGCAGGTGCAGTGGGTGCTGCTGTCGTCTGCCCTGTGGGTCCCTTATCTACTCCACACCACCTACCTGTGGGTCCGCGCGGGCGTGGCCAGACACCCTTTCCGGAAGCTGTAAGGGGCGGTGATACCAGCTACCAGCCCCTAAGCCCTGACTCTGGGCAGGGACTTTATCTCTCTTCTCCCCCTGTACTCCGGGGGAGAGGGACTGCTGTGCTCCCTGTTTTGCTCAGATGGAATTCGACTCCGAGATCTCCCAACTAATGAGTTGCACTTGGAGCTTGGGGTCTTTGACTCCAAATTTACTTGGGAATGAAAATAAAAAGCCTCCTGGGAAAGTCATCTATTCCTGCAGATG